GTAGTAGTAGTAGTAGTAGCAGGAAGTAGGAGAAGAAGAAGCAGTAGTAGTAGTAGTAGTAGTAGTAGTAGTACTAGTAAAACCCCAAACCCCAAACCCCAAACCCCCAACTCCAAACTCCAAACCCCAAACCCCAAACCCCAAACCCCAAACTCCAAACCCCAAACCGCAAACCCCAAACCCTGATCAGCCGTGAGGTGCAGGAGGCTACGAGCCGCGCCTCTGCCATGGAGGCCTCCGTCCAGCGCGAGACCGAGGTGAATGCCGCTTTGGAGGACAAAGAGCCCTGACCTTCCAGGGTTTTGGTAGGGTTTAGGGTTTAGGGTTTAGGGCTTTTTCGGTAGAGATTTTTTTTGGGTGTTAAAGGGTCTTTGAGATTCGTGTAGAGAACCCTCGTTCTTTAAGGATTCCAAAGAATTGGGCCCATGATAGACCCTAAACCCTAAACCCTAAACCAACCCCAAACCCCAAATCGTAGAGCCTCAAGGAGAAACAAATGCCAAATGCCGACTACGACTCCTTTGTTTGAGAAGGGCTATGCAGGGGGGGTGAGTTCCATGCCAGGTCGTTTCAAAGAGGGTGCCCGATGTTATTGGGGATTTGTTTATGTTTTTTTAATACTTTTCTGTTGGGGGATCGTGCCAGCAGTTGAAGGTTCGTTGGGGCCACGGCGTTTTTGCATTCGGGCTTCCATGCCCGAAAATCCCCTAAACCCTAAACCCTAAACTCCAATCTCTAAACCCTAAACCCTAAACCCCAAACTCCAATTTCTAAACCCTAAACCCTAACCTCCAATCCCAAACCCCTAAACCCTAAACCCTAAACTCCAATCCCAAACCCCTAAACCCTAAACCCTAAACTCCAATCCCTAACCCCTAAACCCTAAACCCTAAACTCCAATCCCTATCCCCTAACCCCTAAACCCAAAACTCCAATCCCTAACCCCTACAGTAAACCCATCAACCCCAAACGCTAGCGGCAGGAGCAGTGCGCCGCAGCCTGCACGGAGTGGGGACGCTCCAAGGATGCGGTCTCTGCAGCCAGGTGCCGCCTAAAAATCGAGGAGGCTTCGGTTTAGGATTGATGGCTTTATTGTATAATATAGGGTCGGTTTAGGGTTCCGGGATTGATGGCTTTATTGTATAATATAGGGTCTAAATAGTTTCCTATACTAGTTTGGGGGTTCCTTATTCTAATTATGGTATATTACACCCCAAAACCCTATTCTAACTATTAAGGCCTCTTACACTAAGTCGATCAGAGAACTGCCCGTATCATCTACACCAGATCGCGAGGTTCCAGACTTGAGCACTTCCAAGTTCTGGAAGTTTAGGGGATTGTGGGGTTTAGGGTTTAGGATTTGAGGGATGGACCTTGAGAGTGGACTTTCAGTGGCAGTTGCCGATAGCTTAGGGAATCACTCCGCAGGGTGATTTCTTGCAATGTGGTACCTCGTGTGCCCTAAAGCTACATTCACACCTCCAAACTTAAATACAGGGTCGGAAAAGCCAATCATAACGGGTTCTTATCATCCCCATATATAACACTTATGCAAGATGTCAACGCCCCCCTAGATCCCCCAGATGGAGACTTTCGCGCTTGCCCTGGCTCGAGCTTCGCGCTTTCGAGTTGCGCTTGGAGCTTTTTCGGAGTTTGCGGTGAATATAACAAAGGGCAGAAAGGGCTTGTGATTCACAAGGCCCCTCGACCCGAAGCCCCAAACCTTGAACCCAAAAAGGTGGTGCTGCGGAGCTTTAGGGTTTGGGGTTCGGGGTTTGGGTTTAGGCTACTCAGGGACTAGACGGCAAGGCTTGGGGCCAATGGAACATGGAAGAACAAACGCTTGCCCAGAGTACAGCTCCTTACACCTCAAGCACGAAGACCTGAGCCCTATAAGCCCTTGACTGAACCTTGACCTAACCATCCTTGACGTCTGCAGATAGTTGCTGGGGGTCGTGGGCCATGGGAGACGGAGCATGCGGCGCCCTTTGCAAGTTTGCGTCACTTCTGTTTGTCCTGTCAGGCTTGAGTGCCCTTTTTAATTGCCCAGAAGGGTCCTGTCGTGGTGCTACTCTTCGTCTTGCGATGCGCGAGCCGGCGTCTTCGGATCAGTTGGAAGACGAGCCAAGCCTTCGCAGACCGACAAAGCACGTGGCGAGGACAGCGGTGAGCCCACAGAGGTTGAACCAATCAAAAGTGTGGTCGACGTTGTGTGGAGGTCATCCGTGTTTGGTCTTCAGGCACATGAGCAAGACTGGTGGTACATTCGCCCAGGCCTTATTGGAACAAGTGGTCGAGAAATCCTTCCTTCGCGTCGTCCGGGACAGAGACGCACTGACGCCCCAGTTGCGCAGTGGGAATTTCATCGTGGGGACTATGCGAAACCCGTGCGACTTGCAGGTAAGTTTAGCTCACTTCGCGCCTTCGAAAGCCTTCACGGGTGAGTGGCGGACCATGGGCCCGCCCATACGGCCGAAGAATGAGCAATGCGATCGAGGCCTCGAGAACAAAATCTTCGAGAGCTGGGTCTTGAACTCCCGTCGCAAGACAAAGTCTGGGCCGGTGGGCATTCAGAGTGTGCGATTCTGGCTCATGTATCTGGCATCGCACAAGTGCCTGCCAATTGTCCGAGAATTTGCAGCGAAAGGGCCAAAGAACAGAGAGAGCCCCCTGTGGCAGAACTCACGAGCGAGCAGGGAAGCAAACTGCACAGAAGCGCACCTGCATTCGAGCTTGAAGTCTTTTCAGCCGACGAAGGTTGCAGACTGCTGGATGTACACGGAAACCTATTGGGAAGATCTTGAGCGATGTCTGCGGCACTACGGCAGCCTCTCTGAAACACTGGCATCTTCAATCTCCTGGGAAAGGTTCTATGCGATTCGTGCGAACACTTCCTTGGCTCTCAGTGTGGGCGACCGCCATTCTCCGGAGAGGAAGTCTCGTCACACAGGCTGCAGTGCGTACTTTCAGAACGAAGATTTCCGAAAGCTGGAGATGGATGCAGATGTGCACCTCTTCGCGCGCTTTGGGTACCAATGCTGCGGCGCGAGGCAGCGACGAAACCATCGCTGAGCACAGCAACAACACACTCGAAAAAATCTTTGTGAAGAAGGGCGGTAGAGAAAGTAACAGATGGTTCTCTGTTTGACAACCCCGGCTCTGCTTGGCTGCCCTCAGCTTGATCCCAACTCTTTGAAATTTCTCACGGCGTGCTACCAGCCCCTTTACCCGCAGGGCATGCTTACCGCCTATTCGTTGCAGCCTATACGGGCTGACAGCCTGCCTGAGAAGCTCAAGGCGAGATAAAGACTTTAAGCTGCAGGTCTCGCATCCTTCATGCCCTGGCTCAGCCCTGAACGGTAGAGCTGCTGTGACGTAGGGGCCTGAATACCTTGCCGATTCTATTCCGTGGGGTTCCTTATTGTAGTTATTTTACTCGTATGATATACACCCTAAACCCTATAAACGCCAATCCCTGAAGCCTGAACCTAAACGCTAAACCATATTGTAGTTATAGCATACTATAGCCTGGGTATACCATAGTTATAATACTATATAGTATTTCATAGTTATGGTATTGCCTGGTTTCAGGGACGTAGGGATGGGCTTTAGACTTGAAATCTTCAGAGGCTTCCTGGAGCGCTGGAACCAGAGGGAGCTCGCCTTATCCAGGCTTTGGAGGATTTAGTAGTAGTAGTAGTAGTAGTAGTAGTAGCAGCAGTAGTAGTAGGAGTGATAGTAGTAGAGGTCGTAGTAGTATCTCCCTGTAGTTCCTGACATCATTGTGGCCATAACATAGCCGAAAGCCGTGTTCTGATTATTCAAGGCTCCCCTTTCACTTCGAACCCAAGTCAAGAGGCAGATTTCAGGCGTAAGGCTGCTGACCCTTAAATCCTAAACCGTGGACTTCAAACCAGGTTTAGGGTTTAGGGTTTAGGGTTTAGGGTTTAGGGTGTGTTCTGGTTCAGGGTGATTCTGACCTTTGTTAAGCCGGCATTCCACGCAAATTCTGCCTCGACCTTCTCCGACTCAATGTGAGAGCAGTGGCATCCTAGCAGTGCTTGGGGCTTTCTTAGCTTGTCGTTCCCCCAGTAATACTGAATACGAGGGAAAAATTTCAGGTCAAACAAGGAGGACCCAAATCAACGTGCCCAATCATGAACCTTAATAAGCCCGCAAAGCTCGATCCGAACAACTTCAAGCGCTCCACGTTGAAAATCGCCAGGAAACGCCTGGAGGAGAGGGGTGCTGCGTACAAAGCTCTGCGGTTGGCCGTCTGGGACTACCACCAAAAGGCTCTCGGTGTACGTGAGGGAAAGCTTGTGGAAGCTGAAATCGCAAACTTCGAGTTTTTGGATATTCTGCTTGGTTGGATTGGGGGTGAAGGTACATGGCTTGACATTGATCTCGTAAGATATTTCTCACTGCGAGCTTTTTTGCAGTGCTACGTAGAGATTCAGCATCGCTAAACCCTAAACCCTAATTGCTAAGCTTTATATATATATATATATACACATACAAAGATATATATATATATATATATATCTATTTATATTGTATATATACATATATACCTATTGAGCAACGGCTTGATGCCCTCAACTCCTCAACCCCTAAACCCCTCAACCCCTAAACCCCTAATCCCCAAACCCTGAGCTGGAAACTTTACGCCTCAAATTCCCTTGACTGCTCTCGTGGTGGTGATGGCTGTAGTGTGTCAGTTTCGGCCAGTACCGGTACTGATAGGTACTGTAGTCGCGGTACTCGGAGTGCTACTGGTACTGCCAGTGCTACGTACTACCGATCTCTGTATCAATGGCATCATCAACCATGGTCTCCGGATTGAGGTGTACGGTGTACGGATCGCTGGGATTTAGTTTGAAGGTTGTCTTTTTAGACTTGGACATGGCGGCCCTGGGGCGTCAGGGTCCTGTTAGGGTTTCATGCTCGTTTGAGGGTGTGGAGGCTTGAATTATGGATTCGCAAATAGCTGCAGTGCACACATCCATGCCAAGCTCCACACCCTGAGCCGCTTGTGCCCAGAAATGTCATGCCAAGAAGGCTTTTCGGCTTCGAGGCTTCTGATGGAGGATCCGAAATGATTACCAATACTATTTTGGGGTTTCCTTACTTAAGTTATAGTAGAACATACCCCCCAAAACCCTATTGTGGCTACCAAGGCTCCTATAGTCGACAAGCCTGGCGAGTGAACCCAGCAGCAGACCGACACTATCCGCCGGAACTGGAAACTCCAAGCTCCAATCTCTCTCTAAATGAAAAGCCGACAGAATAAAAGCCGGAGAGAGCGGTTTAGGGTTTAGGGGCCTTGTCGAAAATCCTGAAGCCCGACAACTGCACGCGCTCTGAACCCGACAGCTGTACGACCCGAAAAGCAGCCAAAACAAGCAACCAAAACCTGACAGTCTAGATGCCCTGCGTTGACGCAGCAAGCCCGACAGCCCAAACACCCGCAACTTACACTATTCTGGCCTTTCCCGGAAACCTCAACCCTAAACCCTAAACCCTAAATCCTAAACGCTACATCCTAAACCCTAAACCTCAATTCTAAACCCTAGACCCGATATCCTAAACCCTACATCATCCTACATCCTAAACCCTAAACCTCAACTCTAAACCCTAAGCCCCCTAAACCCGAGACCCCAAGCCAGAACTTGTCGAAGGACCCAAACCCTGGACCACCAGCACTCCTTTCATGATTTCGTTATGCAAGTCCTTTAAGAAGGTAGCTTCTTCAGGGTCCAAGTAGGCCCTAAACCAAAACCCTAAACCCTAAACCCTAAACCCTAAACCCTACACCCTAAACCCTGAACCCTAAACCCTAAACCCTAGACCCTAAACCCTCAACTATGCTACTCCTCGTGGAAGGTGAGCCGGCGCCTTTCCGCCCTGGAGCAAGCCTTGTTGGAGGCAGGGCACCAGGTGGCATTTTGGGTCTCGGCTTGGGGTTTTGGGTGAGTTTAGCAGGGTTTAGCTAGGGTTTAGGGTTTTGGGGTTTTGAGTTTAGGGTTTAGGGGTGGCAGGGTGTACTTGGAGCTTCGAGCACATATTTGGAGGTTTGGGGTTGTGATTACATACTAACAAGATTTGATACGGGTCCTTGTTATTGTTATAGCATACAGGTACCTTAAATATCTCCTAGGCTTCATCAAGATGATGATATCTTAACTACACCCACCAAAACCTTGTTCTACCTGCTAAGGCACTCGTACTTCTTGTTTTTTCGAATGCTCGGTGATGTTGCCCACTTTTAGGGTTTCTCTCGGGGCGCCGTTAAAGGTTGGGTGGGATTCTTTCTTGGACCTTGATTTAGGCTATTTTGGTACAGGGGTCTGAACTAGTAATTAGATCATGTATTCTGGCCTTATGTTGAAGTGCTCTGTCCACGAATAAGTACTCCGAAGAAGAGTCTCTCTGCGATTGTGCTGTGATGTGCCCCTTCCGACAATCTGTTCTATGGGGGTTTCCGAAAATAGGGGACCCTAATATAGTACCCTTAATAGTAGGATCCTTATTTTCAGGACCGCTAAATAAGGTACCCCAAAGGTTCAGAAACTCCCATATCAGAAGATATGCCAAGACCTCATTCTCGAGCCCTCCTCAAGAGCTCTTATAACAGCCCCTCAGAAACAGCCTACCATGATACGGTATATTCCTTCCGGAAGGGATTTTGGAAGGTGTGGGCACGGCATTTATCTACTGGAGTTTGAATATGGCCACACCTTAGAAGCAAGGATTTTCGGGAAAGCTCAGAATAGGAACTGCAGGGTCCTGATGTTACCCCTTAATTAGGGCTCCTTGCTCAAACCTACACTAAACACATACACCGGAGCCCTACTCGAGTTAGTAAGGCCCCTGACTTTAAGTCTTCCTCTCCGAGGGTTTCTTTCTGGCAAAAAGCCGGGATTTCTGCTGCCTTTCCAGTTTCCACTCGACCTACGAGGTATACGCATTAAACCCCAGCCCCAAATGGCAGAATGCCCCAACCATACGTAAAGCTCGATGCACTTCTTGGTCCTGCGTGCAAGAGGCTCAGGAGGAAAAGGCAGCCGCGCCGCCCCGCAAGCAAAGGAACCAGCGGCTGAAACGACATCTAGATGTGCCTGCTTGCGTCCAGGCCCTTAAACCAGGTTCCAAGGAAATGTTTGTAAGCCCCGTAAAAGTTGAACCCAGGAAGCCTCGCTGCTAAACTCCACTCTCTTGAAGCCCCAATAATCGGGGTCTTGAGAACTAGACTAGGCCCCCTGAGGGGGGGGGGGTGGGGGGGATTTCTCAAAGCAAAACGATACGGGTACCAGGAAGGGACATGAGCACATATGATTCCCCAACCCGCAAGCCCTAAACTGGCCTTAAACCCTAGACCCTAAATCCTAAGCCCTAAACCCAAAGCCTTCACTGCACACCCTTCCATGAATTTAAGACCCTGACCGTCCGGGAGCCCAGAGCCACCCTTCGCCTGCTCTCCATGGCGATGTCAAGTGACGTCGACGGCTCTTCCGAGGAGGGCTTAGGGTTTAGGGCTGCAGTCGTCGGGATCCCCCTAAACCCTAAACCCTAAACCCTAAACCCTAAACCCTAAACCCCAAACCCTAAACCCTAAAGCTTAAAGCCTAAAGCCTAAGCCTAAGCCTAAACCCTAAAACCCTAAACCCTAAAACCCTAAACCCTAAACCCTAAACCCTAAAACCCGAAACTCTCCGGGTCTAGGGCGTGGGTGTTTTGATACACAGAACTTAGAGTTTAGGTTGCCTAGGTTTTGAAGTTCCCCAAAGCCCTCCAGGGTTTAGGGTTTAGGGGCTACCCGGTACCTCGAACACCTGGAACTAGGGACTGCATCCCCCCTTCTTCGAGTTTAAACCCTAAGCCCTAAACCCTAAACCCTACAGAAATGAATTAGTGTTCCATTCAGGGCTTGGGGGGGGTTTGTTTAGCAGATGGGGGGTTTGCGGTGTGAGGGGGGGGGGGGGTTGGAGGGCTCCAGCAAACCCTCCACCGTTGAAGGTTTAGGATTTTTGCGACTGGGACCCTAAACGCTGCACCCAAAACCCTAAACCCTAAATTGCCGAGAGCGCCGCTGACCATTTGCATGGGCGCTCGGCCGGGCCTCGGTCGCGTCCCGTCAGAACGGTGGGGGAGGGTAAAGCCTCGCGGTATACGTGCCCTGCCCTGCCCTGCCCTGCCCTGCCCTGCCCTGCCCTGCCCTGCCCTTTGCCTTCGAGCAACCCTAACTGGGTGCGAGGGGCGAATTGCTTGTTGGGAACCCTTGCTTCTCGTCGAGCGGCCGGCACAGGCCGCGAGGACCCACAACCCCACACTAATCCATCTCAGCTGTGGTTTGCTGCGAATTTTGTTCAAGGCCGCGAGAGAGGAGAGAGCAAGAAAGCCCCCCTTGGGGGGGGGTTTGGGGGTGAACCCTAAAC